CATGATAATTATTGATAAAAGGAAGTAGGTGTAAATCATCAATAGTAACAAAAAAAAAAAAGCTGTTCTTCTTCTTTTAACTTGAAATAATGTCGGTATTTATAGATAACATTTCAGTATTTCAATATAAGTAATTTAGTAAAAAACTGTAAGAGTATAATAATGGAAAATTTTGATAAAAATAACCAATCAATATTTTAGTTATTGACATTTGATTGCGATTATAAAACATTTTAACAATTTACCTACATTAATTTATTTTTACTATGTAATGTGTTTATACCATTTATGTTTTTTTATATGTACATAATATTTAGATACATAATGTACGTATATAATACGTACATAATATTTTCAATAGATAGTTAGACCCGCTTATAAGCATATCGAAAATTGCAATGATTTTCCTATACACGAGTTCAGTTATAAGTACCAAATTTTAATTCTAAGCGAGTTTTCTAATTTAATGTTTAAGCTTAGTGAAGTGTAATTTGTGGCAACTGTAATGTTAGAATTGAATTTCAGTTGAAACTATAAGCAAATTTTTGTGCTAAAAGTTTTTTTGCTTACAAAACCACCTCGATATAAAGAAGAAAGTGAGAAATGCGATAAATTCACTTGTGCTTATTAAAAATTTTTGCTTGGAACAGATAGCGTGTACTAAAAATTTGGTTTTATATATATTCGGATCCGACTGTAATAACAAAAATTTACTTAAACACTAAAATTTGTCATTTAAAATAAAGATAAACTACATGCAATAATAAAATTTGTCTATCAATTTTCCATGATAAATATGATATGTTTTCAACATTAGACTCAGCAGTGCCATTTCAATTTGTGATAAAAAATGCCTATTTTTGTAAATATATATATACGTAATATTAGTAAAACATTTCACATAGCAGGTATAGTTTATTATTACGAAATTTTTTAAATGAACATAATATGTACTTAACTGGAGGTAGACTTAAACCTAAACCATCAATAATATAAAATTACATTGGCAAGAAAACATACTGTAATTTGTTTATTATTATATAAGAAAATGATAAATTAATTACCTCAAATTTATTTTAACTTGCATTCTTATATTAATTAAAATTCAAAATCCATTTATATACTCTCGGTAATTTGTAATACTTATACTTTTTTGTAAACAAGTACTAAAGTGGGCAACACCCTATATTTCATTAAAAATTAGTTATCATTCAGTATACGTAAAACAATATTTTGATATAATTATATGTATATATATTCTATATAAATGCATTTTAAATAATTTACGATTTATGCTTTTAGAATTTAAACAATGGATGGATATAGCCAAAAGAGATGAATTCGATTTTTTATTAGCTACAAACTTACTTCAAAGCTTTATTTTTACAACAATATTTATGATTTATAAATCCTTGATTTAGGTAATGTATATACTCGGATACTATATTATATAAATTTTTTAGCGAAATGTTAGGAAAATACAAAATCACAAGTTGCCTTGCTCTATTTAGCACAATATAATAGAAGTTGAATAAATTGTTTAGTTTCACGGGACATAATGTATAATTATAAATAAAAATTAATGTGTAATTAAAACATTCACTCTCTGAATTGTTTAAGATGGTTGACAATTTTAATGGTGCGAAAATTTAGCTTGAAAAGCACGCAATTTTCATTAAACCTTAATTATATTTCGAAACATTTTGAATAATTTAAAAAATGTATGTAAATTAAAAAAAAATGTTTGCTGTAGACCTATAGAATTAAAACCGGATGCTATATATGATTTTGAATGTTGTTTTTTCTTACAAAAATTTTACAAATAAAAATTATATTTAAATGTTTAAAATTTACATAAAAAAGGAGACTAAACAATCCTCTCTATAATAATTATATTTAATATTATATCAATAAAGGGTAAAATAAAAGTAACTGCACATATATCAATAATATTCGATGTTGTATAACAACAAAACAAAGAAAAGGCTACGGCAGGCTGGTCAGCAACTAGTTAACTCAATGACCCGTAGAACTAATGCTTGACTCTAAAGTCAATGGGAAGACCCTATAATGCTATTAGATGGAGTAAGGAAGAAAAAACAAATCTTAAATATCGTGCTTCACTTGAATTATTCAAAATTATAGAAATGTTACCTACTCACTTGCTCTCTAGTTTATAAAATATTATTCAAACTCTAAATTATCGCTTTCAAAAATTTTTTAATTGCATAACCCCATACTTGAAAAATCTTGAAACAGAAGATACAAATAGAAAATTGTGAACAAGTAGAAATTTCGCGAAATTTCCTGTAAGTCCTTATATTGCCGAAACCATTGAACTTTGGCGACACGTTTTAAACAAAAGCTGTTCCATTTTCAATTACTTTCTTGTAAATGATGCTATAAAATCTCTAGTTAGTCTATACAAACGTACACTAAACATTATTATAATATGCAAGTTTCTGTTACTGTAAATTTGAAATTCTAAAATATACTGTTTAAGTCTCGGCTATATCATATATAATAATGTTATATAAATTGAAACTGTAATTGAATTAAAATTCGAGTTATACAATATTATTGTACTCAATAAAATTTTATAGCCTATCTTCTTCTTTTTCCACACGTACCGGCAACCGCATGCATAAGATATAATACGTATGTATAGCTAAATTCTTTTGTATACATGTTGGATTCATATTTACTTTACTTTATTATTTAATTCTTATATACATATATATATGTATGTACAGACATGATTTTGTATATATACGGTCAAAGACTTTTTTAATAATAATTTGAAATATTTGATTTGAATGTGAATTAATCAAATGAAACGATATACATGAAAATTGAAGACCAAAATGAAGGAACGGAAAAAAATTCCAACAATAAAAAAATTTACAAACTAATATCATAACTTTTTGCGAAAAGTATTTTTTTTTGCATTCACCGAAAGTATAACGCTTAATATAAATTGCATAAACAAAATGACAAAAAAAAACAATTCCAACAAAATTTAAGTAATGGGAATAATTTAATTCTTTAATTGGGCAACAATATACTAAAAAAAAGAGCGAAAAAAAAATAAATAAAAGAATGAAATGACAGACGAACTTTGTTTTTTTTTTCAATTTAATTACATTAGTCTGATAAATATATAAAATGTATTAAATATGATGAGTCTGCGTTTTTAATTATAGAAACGCATAATATACACGGGGAAAGTATATTTAATTTATCATAATATTTAAGTACTAAATGTACATGTGTACCTAAATTTAATGTTCCTGTAATTAAAAACAATTTATTTTAGATTTTAAAGCCCAAATAGATAATTAAATTTTAATCCCGTATGATTTTGCAAAATTACGAATATTTTGATTTTTTTTCCCACAATTTGAATACTTACTATTTTTTTTTATCACTTCATTTTAATCTGTATGAATGTTTATTAAATTACATTTAATTTATTTAATAATTTAAAGAAGCGTGAGTATTTGAGTTCATTCAGAAATTAAATGAAGAGTGAGTATTTGAGTTTGCGTGAATATGTTATTGTTAAAATTTAAAAAGAATAACTTTTGATAATAAAATTGTAATTTTAGGTAAACTAAATAACGTAATGAGTTTTCTATACAACTGAAAACAATGTAAAATTTTGAACTTTAGCTTTGCTGAAAGCAGAATTTATGTTTAAGTACTTAATTAATTAAAGACTGAGTCATAATATAAAACGTCTATAAGATGCAAAAACCAAGATGTTCCTTTAATGAAATCTAAATTAAGAGTACTATAAACTTCGTTGTACACTTGTTAAATAGCTTGTTGCATAACTTTCTAGCGAATATCTAAAAGTACCGTTATGCATAATACATTCAAAGTCTGCTTTTAATACACTCGGCCAAAAATAATATTCTAAGAAAACCTACATCATAAGCCGGTAGCAACAGACGCCTATTGTTGAGCAATTTTTTTGTTTGATAATGATGATCCGCAAGATATGGTGTAAGTCAATATGTATACTACTATAGAGAAAATCCTATATATTTTATAGCTATATACCTACTTTAAATTCATGTTTGTTTTATTACGAGTATGTTTTATTTTTGACACTTAATGATTGATTTGTTACAGTTATCAAAATCAAATTAACTCAGTTTTGTTACCTAAAAATGGATCTCCTTACTCTAGAGTACCGCTTAAATTGTTTAGAAACTCTTTTGACAATCAGCATTGTTAGGCATTTGGACAATTATTTTAAAAACAATTAACAAATAAATAATTAAAATATTAAAAAAGAATGTTTTACAACTTTTGTTTTCCAGATATTTTTAGAAATTAAGAAATGGTAGCTTAATATTAACCAATATGTGTATAAAAATAATATCTACCAAAATATATACATATAATAACTAAGAATTAAATTGTTCTTACTAAAAACAAAATTAAGTTTTTTAACGTTAATATTAATTTTTATAAATATCCCTGAACATCGGAATTGTAATAACACCGTATCGATATATAATTAGCAATTGTCAATTATAAGCTGAATTCTGCATAAATACAATATTGTTACATTTCCGATCTCGGGTTATGTACATTGTTATTTAGTTTCATATTGCAGTGGATTCTTATATTGTATAATAAATGTAATTAATTTATAAAAATATTGAATGTTTATATTGAATGAAATTGCATACTAAAATATTTAAATTTATAAGAACACTTTTGTGAAAAAAATAAAATAAATCTTAATTTTTAGTATTCGAATTCATATGAGGTCAATGAAACCGTCAATGAAACCGTATCGAAAGCAACATTTTGTTCTAGTGTTACGTATGCATTAAGTAAAGTGTATGAAATTCTAGATAACATAAATTTAAAGTTTACATATACTTATTGTTATATGTATGTAAATATAAAATATATCAACATTATTTAGAAACATTTTAATAAATTAGTTATTAAATTACAAAATAAAAAAATAAAATACTTACAAAGAATATTTATTATTTCAGCCAATTGTATATAATGGTTGTATTAGATAAAGAAATTATTTTTCAAATTATTTTATAGTTATTTTGTTTTTCTTTTTATTAAACATAAAATTTTTTTGTTTTCCGAATTTTGTGTGATGTCACTTTAATAGTGTTGTCAATATATTTTATTACCTATAACAGCTGTTTTTTTTATATAATCGTTGTTTTTGTAAGTAATTACAAAAGTTCGATTTTGTATCATTTCTTTCTTCTCTTTGAATACATTACTTTAAAATAATAAAAATTTTAATAATATATTAGCAATATAATATTTAGAACGTAATATTTTCATATTAAAATTTCATTTTATTAAATTTTTTGTTTTAAGTGTTAAAATGTTTATTATAAAAGTAATATAAGTAAAATTATTAACGAGTTGACATTCATTAAAGTCACAAATGTCAAATTTTAATAATACATGTAATTTTACGCAAAAATATACATATAAACATATATGTAATATGTATTTGTATGTGTAAATGTTATTTTGTTGTTTTAAAGGATAATTTTTAAAATTAATATCATGTTCTACCGTTTAGCAGGAACTGATTCATTTACTAAACAAAAAAAAAATTCTTTTGCTTTTACCTTATTACTTTTTGTTTTTATTAATATTTATTTATTTATTTTTATTGTATAACAAAATATTTAAATATTAATGTATAATTCTTTAAATTTGATGTACATTTATATTCTATTTTTATTCGTTTTTATTAATACTATGTAATATTACTATTTATTTTTTTTTTATTATTATTTTATATTTTATTTTGTTTTTAATTCGCGATGTAGCTGCGCTTGTATCATACTTCAAGACAAAGTACAACTACTAAACTAAAATTATTATGATGAACTTGGTAGCGTACTAACAGAGTAGCACTATTTTTTATCGTTGCCTCTACTCTAACTCTCTAAAAATATTATTTGTTTCTATTTTATTCGTTTCGTTTATTCGTTCATTAAACGAACGATGATAATGTTGATATTTTGTAGTTTCGTTTCAAATTATATTTATGTTTTTGTTTTTTTTTTTATTAAATAACCATTACATTAAATTATTTTAGTGTTTCTTTATACAAAAAAAAACTTATAAATTAGACAAAAAAAAAACGCGTTGTACTCTTATAAATCGATTGTAAAGCTTGTGTTAATTTCAGATACGTTTGTGTTATGTTTTATAGTATCTTAAAATATAGCTGAGGTTATTTAATTTAATTTCAATACGAAAGAATAAAATATTTTAGAGAAAAAAAAAGGAAAAATATACAAAAACGCACACATTTAGCATCAATACACAACACACTTATGTATATAAAATATATGGTTGCGTGTCTAGAAACACACACATATATAAATATCAAATCACTTAAAATTATGAGGGTTAAGAACATGAATAAAATAAAAACATGATTATGTTTCTATTTCATTCATACAATAATATTTTTTTTAGTACTTTTTAGTACTACTTTTATTTTTGATACAATTCATGTTTTTCTTGATATTGGTGGCTTATGCTGCACTCGAATATTTTTTCAGCTTAAATTTTCTCTCCAAATATTAATATGAAGAAGTATATGATGAGATACTGATTTGATTAAAAAAAATGAGAATAATTTTCATATTATTGTAATATTTTATAAGTATTAATAAAATTTTTAGTGAGTATCTACATCAAACCGAGAATAAATAATAACAAAATGATTAAAGCATGAAAATTTTAATTAATACACGCACACTTAAATGACGAAAAAATTTTTATGTAATTGCACACTTAATAGATAGAATATTTACAGCGCTTTATAAATGTATAAATAATATGTATGTATAAATTTGTGCGTGTATTCACAGATATGTGTATGTATTGTGGAAAATATGTTAGAAAAATGCTATTGATATGATTTTGCCAACGCAATTTTCAAGCTGCTGAGTACCGCTGAGTATGAGGTAAAAGAACAGTGAGTTAACATTATTGATGTTTCGAAGAAAAAAATTCTTTTACCATTCCGTGGATATAAAATTTTATTTCAAAATAATTGCGTAAATGCAAACAATTATTTGAATGTATTTATTTTTTTATATTATTTTTAATGTAGTTGTAAATGCAACATATTATTAAAAATGTAAAAGTTCACATTATTTTCTTATCACAGTCCATGTTTAATTTTTTTTACTTTTGTTGTTTAACTTGTTTGTAAATTTCTTGAACTGAATTTTGTACAGTAAAATTTTTTGATACATTCAAGTGTGTTATGTTTATAATGGTTATTAATTCTTTTTTTGGAAAATTTATGACTTAAAATTGTTGTATTTGTTGCACGCATTGCATATTTAAATTGAAATACTACTGGATAAGTCTTTATGATTAAAAGGTTATTAATCACGTTTTTATTGAATTTTAAATAGATTTAAAAATACAAGGACAAAATGTTCCACGTATGTTAACCATAAAAATTTTCTATAATATTAATTTATATTATTTTTTAATGTATATATTTAAAGCAATAAGAAAAAATAAGAACTGATCTTTAGTTAAAAAATATTAAATGAGATCCAAACTTGCTCTAATGATATTCAAGATTTATTAAATAGGATTACGCACTGTAATCACCAACAAATTAAAAAAAATTATTCTGCAATATAATAGACGCCCTATATATTAAATAGAGTTGGGTTGAAAAAAAACTTGTTTTAAGGTAGCACTTTTGTCAACATTCTTAAGTAACTTCAATCATTAATCAAAATATATAAATTAATTGCATAAATTAAGGATGAAAAATGTCTATTTTCGCGATTAATAGATGTAGAACTTTCTTAGTACACTAAGAATAAATAATCGATACTTCATTTTCTTCAAGAACAAAAATGTTTTTAGTTGCTTTACAATAAATAATCAAAAAGTGGCATTTTAAGAATTTTGGGCTATGACTTTCAGAGGAGAAGCGATATGTAAACATTTTCTTCTACGGAAATAAATTTTTATAAATATCTATGTTTTCGACTAATAGATGTAGAAGTTTTTTAAAGAGACGAACAGACTGATGGATGGATAAAGTGAAACTAATAAGTAAATTTTTTTAGGAAAGTTCTAATAAAATTAAAGCATAAATGGCCATTTATGCAAATATAATACCACAGATAAATATTAAATCCATACGATAAATATAATTTCAGCTCAATTTTAAATTGTTAATGTGCATAAAAAGTGTGTTCTATTTTTCAATACATTATAGCAAGCATACAATCACAACTTTTCGCATTGCTTTAGTTTTTTAATTTTTGCTTCGGTTCAATGCTATTAAACAAGCAACCCATTTATTGGAACTTCGTAGAAATTTATTTTTTTCAAACATTAAGATTATGCATAAAGTTCATAATTGTATTTCCTCTTATTCAATTAAATTAAGTTACCGACCCACTGAAATTCAAAGTGTTTTTAAAGAACTTCGAAAAAAATTAAAAAAAAAAAAAAATACTTAAATTTGTTGCACTAATAAAGGGTTCAAGCAGTATCGGCTTATCAAACGATGCATAGTATCACTATGTTTGTAATTGAATGTTGAATGCTAATTTTAATAAGTTTTTGTAAAAATAGTTCACATTAAAATCTATATTAGTGATTTAGCTTTAAGACCACTTGTTAAATTTTTATACTTAAGTGAATTTGAAGTAATTGAGACTATTAAATGAGTTGTGAATGAATACATTGGTGATATGCACATTTCAAAGCTTTTTCCTCCAAACAACCTCGAAGTAAATGTCGAAAAAATAATATTTTGGCTGATATTATAGGAAACACATGAATATTATTAATTATAAATTTCAATTATTCTTTTCTTGTAATTTCTTGTTGGGTTTTTTCCAACATTGGTTTTTTTTCCAAAAACTCCACGTTATCATTTTCAGATTATATGAAACAAGTATGTATTAGAGAAAGTTTCAATACCTCAAACTACCTATATACTTATTACTTTATTTTCTCTTTTTTTTTAAAGTCGATGATAAGATAAAAACAAAATGGTAGTCAAACATGATATCTAGACTTTATTCGTAAAGAAGTGAAAAGAGGACAGGTTGAAAATACTTGTACATACATATATGAATGTGTGTATGTTTGTATATTTTCATGCTTTTATTTTGTTATCAAAGGAGAAAGGCATTCCTTTTTTTGATTCATTAATATTGCATTTAGGTCTTTTTATTTTATAACTTGAAAATTTTGAAAAATGGTCACGTAAATCCTGTATTCTATGCATGGTGCACAATGCAATTTTCGTTTTTTTGTTTTACTGTTTTTATGTTCAATAGCAAATTTCTTTTATACATACTTTTTTATTATCTCTTTTTTTCGCTTTAATATCCAACTGTTATGTTCTGATCAATTATCAACTATATCAATAAAGGTGATCGTGTCCAATTTTAAAAACTACTTATATTCAACTAATTTATATTTATAGATTCATGTACGACGTGATCAGAATTAATTTTTCACTAAACTACCACGTATTAAGATTTTTTCCAACATATAAATAGAAAAACTTTTGGTATTCATTCCATATACCAAAGGTATCACAAGAATAATTTTTATTTTATCTGTACAAGTATTGTGCGTTAAAAAGTCCTCACATGTAGTAACCGAAAATAAAGTTTGAAAATACTTACTGTCGAAAATTTACACTTATTATTCTAACAGTACAATCTTAAATGTTCAATTTAAGCCCCAATTATCATATTAATTTTGAATGGTTTACAAGAAAAACAAACTTTCAAAAATTTAAACAACTAATAGCGTTTCATTCTGTATAAGCTGACTGAATTATACCTTGCACCTTATATTGCTGAATAGCAATTACTTGAACATTGTTCAGAAACTTCTCGGATATGTCTGACCTATAATTGGACACACGGCTGCCAAGTTTCATAAATCTCACTTAATTATTTTTCCAAATATTTAAAACTAGCTTTTGGAGTTATATAGCAGCAGCCCAATCTATCAAGCCGTTCTATTAAAACTTCGAGGATATCTCTGACTTATAATTAGACAAATTACTGCTAATTTTTCTAAGTATATAAAATTAGCGTTTGGAGTTGTATGCCAACTACCCTAACCCGTTACCCGGATTGGTCCAATTACAATAATACGGTCCGTCCTTGCACAAAAGAAACTGCTCGAGAAAGTTTAGTGATATTTACCATATTCGTTTTTGAATAATCATACGATCGGATGACGGATGGACGAACTATCTAAATCAACGCAGAGTTTCACACAGAGCAAGAATATATATGCATATCCATACCGCAGACGACTCCTTCAGGTTATTCCGAACTCCATACCAAACTTAATATAACCTTCACGATGGCGTAGGGTATAAAAAACAATTTTTAATGTCCTTTGTATCCTGTTCTTTATCATAAAAGTCATGAAGTGTGAATTAATTATCTTAAACCATCTAAACGTTACATAATCTCTCTTATGATTACTATTAATACTTTTTTCTTTGATTTACAAATTACGATTTCAATCTCGTCGCCATCATTTATAATACCTTAAGGAAAAGTTAGTGAAGATCATAAAAACTGTGGTACAGTAAATTATTTAAATGAACTTCAAATCTACTTACGACTCTACTTAAATCTACTTTATAGTTTCTGGTTTCAGTTTTTTTTTGCTTTTGTTTTCTTTCTTTTGGTGCTTTATACTTTTCCAATATTACTTAATATTCAAAAAATGTTCGGCAACGTACATATTTTAGCTACAAAAAATATGGTCAATAAACTTATTTATATACTCGTATCGCAGCTAATACATAAAAAATTTTTGTTAAGATTATTTTAAAACCGGCATTACTACAATAAGCGTGAGTATGAATATTGTTAAAATTATATGTATATTATTAGTATGTAAATTTTAAATATACTGCTTTATTTAACATTATGTTTATATTATACACAGACTTTATGTAAACGAATAAATAAAAAAAAAACAACTTTTCTAAAAATGGTGTCAAAATTTAACTAATTTTTCAATTAATTT